TATATATATATGTATATATATATATATAGAACCATCTGACGCGCAGCGGTTGGAAATGCTGCATGCGTAAATGTCTGCGGTTTGCCTCTTGTTGTTATTGCAGACACCGGAGGCCTACCACTTCTCCCGTCCCACATCCCTCTAAAATCCACCGGAAAGGGAATCCCTTACTACTGTAAGAGCTTAACCAAACTAAAGGCACAACATGTGGCCTTCTTTGAAGGAAATTTGCCCTTAGCCATCGCCAGTACTATTACGATGCCCACATTATGGAGATAACGACACTGTAGATCTATTTGGGGTCAATTCCCTTCTAACCTTAAAGTCTTGCCCAAGGAATACCCATCTATCTGTCTTTTTTTAAATCTATTTATTTATTGATTTTTAACTAATGGGAGACTTGGATGAGCAATTTAGAATACACTAAGAGGCTGTGGATATTTTATAACAAGGTCACGTAAAGAAATATTAAAGGTGAAAAGGAGCTGCTTTCCATATATAAAATAAGTGGCAATCTTTATGTATTTTAAATACCATTCTTTAATGGCATTTAGAACTCTCTCATCACACACACACACACACACACACACACACACACACACACACACACACACACACACACACACACACACCCCAAAACAAAAAACGATTACCCATCTCAAAAGAAGGAGAAGGAGTCCGACAATTACACTCAGTTCCGTTTAATGAATGCTTTATCATTTAAAAAAGAAGAAAGGGAAAGTGCTTCAGAAATCCACCGTTCAAGTTTCTATTTCGAGTGCAGTTTTCTCATGTATATTCACAAGAAGAATGAAAAAAATCAATCAATATACAGGAAACCCCATAAAATTCACAAAAATAAATATTCAGTTTCATATAAACAACCAGTGACTTCAAATTCCGTGTCAAAAAACCTGACCTCAAGTATTGTATCCAAAGAAAAAAACATTTAAAAGTAAAAATCAAAAAGTAAATGAATGGAGGGCAGTGAAGTGGGTAACAGGAGGAGTATGGAGGGAGAGAGCATGAAGCTTGTAGTTGCTGTGCGATGCAATTGTTTACATTGATAGCGTCACTGTCAGAGAGCTGTTTGTCTTAACGGTGGAAAGGCCCTCCCAACAGGCCATTCTAACCACCTCCGCCCCCCCTCAGCCGTGCACTGTGAGAATAGGCTGGTGCGTCAGGAGAGGGGGGCCTAAAGCCAGCGCAACTCCACGGCGCAGGCGATTCCTCTTCCTCCTATGCCGTGCAACCTATGCTTTTGACATGCGGATTAAAGGTTGAAAGCTTCACTCTTGCAACACAGCTACACCACCCCCCCTCCTCCACCATCGACACCAACATCACCACTACACTCCAAACCCATCGCAACCCCCCCTTTTACTGCTAGCTTGCACAAACACGAGCTCGTGTTGTGTAGCTTCTAAACTAGCCATGTTTTCTTTTCAGTTTTTTTTACAAGCTTGTAGGGGATATGAGTTCAGGTCCGAATTGTCTCTCCCAGCCTCAGACATAAGGCTCACGGTGAGTTCAGTCAGAGTGGCGCTTTAATCACATGGCTAAACATCTACCACATGTATCCACAATGGTGCAGGCAGAGTGAAACGCACTTTTTGTACATTTTTTCTTCTTTTTTCCCCCTCTCTCTTTCTCTCTTTCTCTCTCTCTCTCTCTCTCTCTCTCTCTCTCTCTATACAATCACGTATTACATAGTTTCTTCAATCCTCTGAATGAATGCGCCCTTTGCTGTGCTTGTGGAGGAGGCTGACATCATTCACGGGGCTTTGGGTTTGTTGTGATCTGGCTCACCCTATAAGCTGGGGCCTCTCTTTGTCGTGGACAGAAAAGCACACCAATTAGCAGAGCGCGTCCTGCAACTGCCATTAAAAACATCCACACATTCACTTAAAATGCCTATACGTGTAGGTGCTTCTCGACCACTTGATTTAAAGGCGTGTAGGCTTGAGTCTGAGTTGGTACTGCTATGGGTGGGGGCTACATTAAACAGGTCTGGGATAGCCTGCTACTACGCCGAGAGCGGCCATATTAAAAAAAAAAGAGGCTACATTCAGAACGGTGAGATGATGATGATGATGATGATGCGTTTAGGAAATAAAAAGGAAGCGAGATTTCAGAGAACCTGATTGCATTTCTGCCTTCCCTATAAGGAAGGCAGCCAATGATAGTGAAGAACTGTGTTTTTCTTTCATCTTTAAGAACAACGAGACTGAGAATGAGGGATGAGAAAATCAGCATTTGGATGGTTCGGCCGCACATGGCTGAATTGTAAATAATAAAATATTTAACCTCAAATCAAACAGTCAATCTTCCGGCAGTGGGGGCTTTCCCTTTTTGCATCAACAGCTCTCGCGCGTAATTTCACGTTTGTTAGAAATCCCTAAAGCTGAAAAACAACCTAAACACATTCAAAATGCAATGCATTTAAGCCCCTCTCATGTGCTTGGTCGCATTGTTTCTTATTAGTGGCTAGAAGGTGTTTTCACGCAGATTTTTTTTTCGTTTTTCTTTTCTTTCTTGGTGCCTCCCCCTACACTCCCCCTCCCTCCCGTTATCACTAAATCACATCCCATTTTGTCTGCATTTTATATTTTCTTGAATTATTTACATGTTCACCACGCGCACTCTCTCCCCGGCACAACTTCTTATTGCGTCCAGAGGAAGCCGAGGCCACGTGGACCTAGAGGGACACAAATCTGTCGAGTCTGTCGTGAGACCTCATAAAGGAGGCTTATTCATTCAAAAAAAAAAAATTCTTTCTGTTTTTTTTGTTTTTTTTTGATTGTCTGTATACAAGGCCCGCGTTGTGTTTGGGCCTGCGTATGTGCAGTCACACGCTTGCAAACCAGGAAATAGTCCGCAGAAATAAAAACATGACTGAAAACCAGAATACAACCACCCTTAGAAAAATAATCATTTTAAATAATAACACCAACAACAATAATAATAAAAGAAATCCCACAACCACCGAGAATAAATGTATGTCAAATCTAATAAAGGCTTAACCGTGAGCATATGACCAGACATTAACTGAGCTTTTCTTGTATACATGTCTGAAACTGAATATTTGGGCACATGGATGTTTGTGGCCAAGCTGGTTAGCACGCCAGAGGAAAGACAGCGCTGATATATATAAAATATACCAAGTGGCACAGAATGGGAAACCCTGATTTTTATATTATTATAATTATTATTATTTTATGATTTGCTCAGTCAAGTTTACTCCTCAATCCTAGCAAGTTTTTTTTTCTTTTTTAAAGTAGCCTCGTCCCAAGGAATGCTGTGATTTTTTTTACCCCCCCTTCCTTCTTTCAGACAAAGCACAAACCACTGAAACCCGGCACTATACAATCCAACAGGTCGAGCAAATTAGAAAAGCGAACAAGAAACATTCGAGTTCACACACACACACACACACACACACACACACACACACACACACACACACACACACACACACACACACACAGTCGCGTGAACACACCATTGAGAATAGATATTGCTTCGGATAGCTTATTTTAACACAAGTTTTTTTTAAAATCTTATATCCACGAGCGGTGTCTCACAGTCCTGTGGGCGTTTTCAGAGGCTCCGAAAAGGGGGGAATCTTGTGGGTTTTCCTCGATCGAGCTTGAAAACAAAGCGGAATGTAAATCCATTCTCGGGAGAGAAAAGGGGGGACAGAAAAGAAACAACACCGATAAAGTTGCGAGCATTTCGGTGCGCACATGTTAAGACTCGGGCTACGTTTGGGTTGGAAATGGTGAGGGCTTTTTCAGGGCTTTTTTTTTTGCTTTAAAAAACAGCTCCGCCGTCTATTTCCTAGTTCTGTGAACGTGTGGGGGAGGGAGAATCTGGCCGCCTGGCTGCCACCTCCACACGGGGTGGGACGGAGGGGGAGGCCCGGGGCCCCTCAGCGAGTTCAGGGAGTAAGCGGGGCACAAATCCCCGTCGCTGCCAACAATCAGCGACGGCGGGGATGGGAAATTTGCCATTAGGCTGAAAGGCATTTTTGCCGGCGATGCTACAGTGTTCACGTTGCTGCGTTTGCGTCTGCTCGGTAAATCCTCCGTGGATGCCTCCTCGCGCCCCACGGGACGAAAACAAGAAGAAGAAGAAGAAGAGGAGGACGACGACGACGAAGAAGAGGCAGCCTTGTGGACCCTGGATAGGTTTTGTTTTGTTTGCGTCCTGGAAACTCTGGGTTTCTTACTCCCCTGCACCGGAGCCCTGCAGTTTTTGTGCCTGTGCTCCCCCTCCTCGATACACGGGGCGTCTTGACTACTCCTGCATTCCTGAGGACCACAGGGGGACCTGAGGGCCACATCGGGGCTCTTCTCTGTGGCTTTAATCCCACTGTTGGAAAAATCTCCTTGTTTTATGGCTCCGCTGGGATAGTGGCCATTGTTGCTCTCTGTTTTATCTCCTTTGCATTTAGCTACAGTGGCCTGGCTCTGGTATTCATACTCATCACAGCTATCCTCCACTTTAACTTTCACATTGTGGAGACTGAACGGCGGCGTCCTGGCTGTCCTGTCCGAAGAGGAGGTGGCGGTCACAGAGGGCTCCTCTGACTCGGTCTTTATTTTTTTCAGTGCAGTGGGCAGACTTGGGCTGGCGATCGCTTTCGCATCCCTCCTGTCCACAAATTTCTGGGTCTGCTTGGCCTCTTTGCTGTGGTCATACTGAGCCCTCAGTCCCGGGGGGCATTTGATGGGATGCCCCTGTGTCCTGCGTGAAGTGTGAGAGGCCTTATTCCGATTGGGTCCCAGTGAATATGTGATGAGCTCATCCACAGTGTCGGCCTGGTTCGGATTTTCCCTTTTAGACTCGCTGAAAAAGCTCTCCCCCACAGAAGCTGAGTTAAAGTTTTGGGGCTGCGAGGGTCCCGAGTCCTGCTCTGTCTCTCTGCATGTGAATTCACATTTCTGAAGTTTGTCCTGTCCCCTGTCCCGTGATTGCGAAGCAGCAACATGTCCGAGGGTCTTGTGCTCTTTTTCGTGCTGCACTGGGTTGTTGTAGTGAAACGTAGGCTGCAGGACCAAAGGTGCTTTGCTGGTGTTGAGACTTTTGGCAAGCGATCCGACCCGCGCCCGTCTGAATCGGATGCTCTGAACCGAAACACGGCTCGAAACTGAGCTGGAGTCGGATTGAGAGGAGCTCTCTTCCTCCTCCTCCTCCTCTGAGCTGACCTCTGAACTCTCCGACTGAGTGTCATCTTCTTCCTCGCCGTCCTCTTCTTCTTCCGAACTGGCGGAGTTGCTGCTGGTGGAAAAGCCAGAGCCGAGGTCCCAGTCGGGGTAAGCCCGTTCCGAGTAGGTGCTGGACTCGGTGTCGCTGCTGTAACTCTCCGGGAAAGTTGGCTCGTGGTGGTGGTGGTGGTGATGATGATGATGTTGGTGGTGGTGATGGTGGTGGGGTCGGGGGTCGAGATAAAAATCTGGACCGAGGTGAAAAGCACCGAAAGAAGTCCCGTGACTTCCAGACGATTTGGGTTGCACGAGCAGCACCGGCGGTGCGTGGTGGTGCGCGTGCCTGCTTCTGCTCCACGAGTGCCTCGCGCTGTCCCTCCCGCCGCCCCCCTCGCGCCTCCTCTTCCTTTTGTGAAGTAGGTCGCCGGCTGAGCGAGAGAGCCTGGACTGAGCAGCTATGGCGGACTGAAGCACCACCGGCTGCCGGCTCACCGCGCTCCGGAAAAACGAGTGCCTTTGGCTCAAAGTGACGCGGTTCCCTGTTATTTTCGCTGTTTCATAGTTTTTAAAGTGTTTGTAACTGGACTTGGTCGCCGAACGGCAATCCCGCCCGTGCGTTTTGTGATAAAACTGAGGTAGTTTGGAGTCGGTAAGGCAAGGAGTCAGCTCCTTCTTCCTGCCCACTTTGCCGTGGAGTGTGAGAGTCTCCGGGACGCCGTGCTGCAAACTAAACCAAACTTTTTCCCTCCACAGCTCGCCGTCAGCACGGAGGAACCCCGAGGACTCGTCCTCATCCCCGGGGGAGCACGCCGCTTTCGCTTTCCTTTTGTTGGACTTCAACACCCGCTCCGTCTTGCAGGAGAAATACAGAGCCTCCACGTCCTCCCGCGATATGAGAGTGCATTTGGCGGCGTGGAAAGCTATAGAGTTTATTGCTTTGAGCTTCCGTAGCTCTTCCAGGTCGCACTGGTGCTTCTTCACTTTCAGGTAGTCCATGCGCTTGTGCACCGTGGTCCGTGGGATGTTCTTCAGCAGGTCGGTGAAGACCTGGGACAAAGCAAACATTTGCTTGCCTTGGATGAGCAGGTATCCCAGCCTCACTCCTTGCATTTCCTCAAAGCCACACTCCAGGTCTCCCATGATTTGTGTGTATCCACTAGAATCTATTACTCCATGTAGTCAGCCTCAATATACTGTGGATTCACCAGTGAGTGGCATAGGTTAGCGAGCTTAAGGCATCCTGCTCACACCTATAATCCAGCCACACTGCTGCGTAATGAAAATGCAAACTTTGACATGCGGAGTTAAATGGAGCTGCCCCTGTCTAATAGATTGAATGAGCCGACAGCATCCACTCCTTGCTTCTTGCCCCGGGTCCGGCATGGTGGTGGAGGAATGCGACGGATGCGTCCACCAAGCCGGGGCTGCTACCTGCCTCTGCCGACTCCACTCCCCTCTGGTCGGCAGCAGGACGAGGGGTAGGTGTACACCACTGCCTCAGCCAGAGGGATAAAATAGCTAGAAGAGAGAGAGAGGGAGGGAGAGCGACAGAAAGGGAGGGAGAGAGGGTGTTGTGAGGGTGGGGGAAAGCAGAATGAGAGAGAGAGAGAGAGAATCAGATCCAGAGAGAAACAGAAAGAGCTAAAATGCAGCTGCTATTCTGGATGCTGGTTGAGCCACAAATAAAATGACAGGGAGAGAGAGAGAGAGGGGGGGGGGGGGGCTGTCTGGAGACACCTTCATCAATTAATGCCCCTGGAGTCGACGCCCATTGGACGCCGCTGACAGGTGATGCAATAAAAATGGATATTCCATCCCCACCCACCCGCCCACCTACCCCTCCAGCACCCTGCTATTACAATAGTTTACAACTGTGCCCACAGTCTCCGCCGTCTGAGTAAATAATGCTGTTGTGACATTTTTTCCTCGATAGCTAAATAAAGAGCTGCAGAAAATCCAGCCCAGTGCAGAGTTTGTGTAGAGCCGGTGTAAGTAGTCCGATCCGGAAAATAGTCATGACAGGACGGGATGTGTCGTGCTAATTCCCCCCGCGGTCGTCATCAGAATGTATGTAACCGTAGCATGCAATCGATTGCATGTTGGTAAAAATGACTCCAGTCAGCACGTGCTATTTTAGTCGGGCTGATGTGCGTTACGGACGTGCTGCTTAAACAAAGAAATTTGCCTCTTTTTTCCCCCTCACTGCTTTCCCCCCTGACCAGTAAACATCAAACTTAACTGCTTTAGCGTGCTCGAGCCTTTTCTCCTGATTTTTCTTCCCCAAGGTTGTAGGCCTTCTATAGACTGACCTACTTATCAGCTGAGACCACATAGGCTCGCGTCCATCCGCCTGGTGATACCGTAATAAACGAACCGGCGCTCCCAGCGTTTCAGAAGCCATTTAAACCGTCTAAGCTGCGTGTGTGTGAATTTTGCGGAGTCACGCAATTCCTGTGAAATTGTACCGTGTTTAAATGTGAACCGTGATTTTTGAGCGTGATCACAGTGTCAGGTCGGGGCTGCTTTTCCAACATGATTTTCTGCATAAATAAGAATCCTTGTAATATTAACACTGATAATAACTCTTCAAAAACCGGATCCATTTTAATTAGTTTTTCAACAAGGCACATAGAAGCACTTATTAAATATATCATTCTATAAATTGCATAAAATACGCAATAGGCTGTTGCGTCACGAATATGTGCTTTGGTTATGTTTCCATCAACAAGTAGCTTATCTGAGCGGGAGGGCGTGCACCCTGACTTTTGTGAGATTATTCATTAAAAAACGAACACCTTTTGTTTCAAGAGATTTCTTTGTATTTCTTGTAAAATGCACAGTATACACAGTTTGTCTTTACGCACGTCAAAAACGCAAATACGCGCACACACTCGAACGTTAGAATTCATTAGAATGAACGCGCATGCACGCGCAGAACTGCATAAAACACCGCGGATCTGAGAGCGGCACACCTTTTTTCCACGCACACGGCCACAGATATGGGACCCCCGCCCAAACACACACACACACACACACACACACACACACACACACACACACACACACACACACACACACACGGGTTACCAAATAATGTGACCGTGTAGTACGGACTAATTGTTTGAAATAGCAACGGGCCACAGTTAGCCTGAATGGACTGACTATTATGTTCGCCCCTGAGCCATATTTTTTTCTCCAATAGTCCCCGGGTTATATTCCATCTTTGTGATCTATAAAACACGTGAGTCCCTTGTGACCAGTTCCTCCTGCTCCTGCTGCCGGTGCTGCAGCGCGGTGGGGTCAAACTCAGCACTGGGCATACTCGTTTCCATAAATATTAAGCCTATTTGCTTATTTGCTGGCTTGTCACTGCGCGCTGAATAGCATCGATGTTACCAGTGTGTTACATCAAACGGCGTGTCACATGTGTAGGCGTTGTTATTATAGATCCTTAAATATCCGAATGATTAAGAACATCATATCCACAATATCCCTGCAGGAGCGGGACTGTGGTGCGTAACCACCAACGTAGTGCTGCTGGACTCAGGAACAAGATCGTGCGTGTTAAAAGATGTTTGCTCCTTTTTCATTTCATAGCTTGCATTACACCGACTGTGCGAAATACAGCCACGGAGATAATCAAAAATATAATACCTTCCGTGTGTGTGTGTGTGTGTGTGTGCGTGTGCGCGCACGCGGGGGGGGGGGGGTTTACATATAAAGTCGTCTATATTTTAGTTTAATAAGTCACAGAAGGCTGTCATTAAATGCACCAATTGCATGTGGATATTAGCTGGTGCGCTGATGAGCAACTCAACGCAACCGTCTTTGTGTGTATACCTTTGTGCAACTATAACTGAAAATGGGTCTTACTGGAAGCCCCCGCGATCTCTTTAGCTCCCTTAAGTCCAGCTCCACTGCACGGGGGTCATTTGACCTGCACCCTTGCGGTTGCTTTAGATGCAACATACGCACGTTGACGTGTTCTTACTTGCTGATTATCTATGACAGCATTAATACATGCAACATGAGGAGCTTCACGGATGTGAAGGGAGGGGTGGGGGTGGGTGGTAGGGGGATAGGAGAGGGCTCGCTGAAGTCCGGGTCCCCGGGGAATAGCTCACATCCCCGAGACACTGTGCACCGTGGCCGGCCTAGGGAGACGCAGGAAAGAATGGATAGTCGAGGCTTGATTCATCAGACATTCTGACATCTGCACGCCTTGTCCTTTGGACAACCCGGGTTTACTTTTATTTGGCACACTAGACCCTTGTTGTTATTTTTTCTACTTCCTCTAATCCCTTATAGCCAAAGGTTCTCACGTAAAACGCAAGCAATTCAAACTTGCGTAAGCTCCATAGCGATCCTCTTTGTTTTGTTGCTTTTCCCTGAATGTGACTGGTCTGCAGCGGAAATCCATCCTGCAGTTACGCACAGAGACTGGTGTGTTAGTTTTTGAGATAACAACCACGCGGATTTTACTCACTTTATTTGTAAAGAGTTGTGGTTTTGTCACAGGCACGTCATCTATATAGTAATGTAAAAATGACACACACACACACACACACACACACACACACACACACACACACACACACACACACACCTATATCGGTGTATTATTATTATAATTATATATTTTGTTATTATTTATTAAACGGCGAGTATTAAATATAATCAGAAATAATAATTTTTAAATAAATATATAAAAGCACTTTCACACCATCTGTAAAGCCTCGGGATAAATTTGCAGCACCTCTGTCGGTGGATTTTCATCTCCTCATGTCTTAACCGCCCCAAAGTGTCAGTTTGGAGACATCTAACAACAAGTCAACATTCAAATAATTAATGAAACAAATTTAAATGTATTACCGCGTGTGTATAGATCTGCCCCAATCTGAGTATTTCCAATTAAGAGCAGGGGCTCTTTTGTCATGCACAGATGCCACAGGGCACTTATTCCCCCCTCCACTGCGCCTGGATGTCGGCCGGGGACCAGCGGGAGGAAGCAAGACCGAGTGGCCTGGAGAGAGTTCTCAAGTACGGTGAAGGTTTCTATGCAGCAGCCCCTCTGTGTGCTGAGGAGGCGTGGGGAAATGATCGTGATTAAATCTCACAGTTAAGGCTCATGGTTAGCATTGCCATTGTAACTGAGCTGTATGTGGTGAGTTATAATAGGTCTGTAAACTGTAGGACATATTTAAGACATATTGGGAGTGAGCGACCTTGTGATCTAGATTCCAATGATGGCGTAGCTTTTATTTCTTTTCCAAAGTGAAATATAGATAATTTTTTAAGACGACGTTTTAAACCTTTTCAGTTGTTAATACTAAATAAGCTTTAAGCAATAATATTTTGCATTTGTCACTTCATCGTGGACGTCCAAGGCTTAACGGGACCGATTATGGGTAAGGACTTTACTCACTTATCAGATATAATCAATAAACACATGTGATGACGTCTGCATCCCGGCTCTACTTTTCACGTGACTGGTTTATTATTAATTGTGTGTGTGATTTCAATTCAAAATATAATTAATGAAAATAAAAATTTACACTTTATGTAATCCGTTTTCTTTCTTCTTCTTCTGCTTTAAAAAAATAACACCCATCAAAGCAACCGCGCCGCCTCCTGCAGCTCCATCTCACTTTCTCTGCATTGAGTTTTACGGAGACATTTGGTCAAGGACGCTTAGGCACTTGTAAGCGCGTAGACCTTTTTTTTAATGACACAAACCCACTGCCCCATGCCAAAACAATGAATTCCTCTCCACCACCCCCAACACCACCACCACTACCACCACTGAGGGAGAATGTGATTTTACATGCAATCCGAGCCTGAAGTATGTGCGGACAGTGATGGGGGGAGGGTTCTCTTCACCTTTCACCCCGCCGTGTTGGAACTGTTTGTATTTTTTTCCTGGGCCCCTGTGCTACTCGCACAAGATAGAGGAGACCTGGGGTACACACCGATGGTTCTGAAAGCGTGCTGCATGTGTTCATGTCACTTTTGGTGTGTATTCACGCTTTTCTCCCCCCCCAGTCGTGTATATTAACTCAGTAGCAGCCCCAATACCTAATGACTATTCACACAAACAGCCAGTTAGCCTCTGGAGTCCTCTGGAAAAAGATACAGATGGTACATGTGACAGCCCTGCCTTAACCCCACATGCACATTGTCATACACAATATCATTCCAAATATCTATAAAGTTGCCATATAGCCCATAATTACTTCCTAAATGACTACGAGGCTCACTTAAATTTAATGATGCATTTATTAGGCCACTACGGGTGAATAACATTAACTAAAGCTCTTTGTAATGATAGTTTGACTGATAGCTGATTGCGCGCAATTTATGAATTCAAGGATGCTCGAATTCAGCGCACGTTTGAGGGGACAGAGAGCACGTGCAGCTAAGTCACCGCTTTGTCTTTAAAACAGTTGATACAGGTTAACTTGTCTTTAATATAAAAAAATACATAAATAATGGGGCCAAACCTATATCTCCAATTTGACGTAAACACCGTTAGCGCTCGCAGTTAATTGACTCGAAAAAAGGCATCTGGCATGTTTGCGAACGCTATTGTTTCAAAATAAAAGTCCTATTGGTAGTCATTTGTTGAAGCTTATGAGCTCAGTCTGTGAAAACATTCCTGCCAGAGTGCTACACACACACACACACACACACACACACACACACACACACACACTTACACACTTCAATATTTAGGAACAAATTCAGAATTCATTTACATCGTAATGTTTCTTTGCTCATGGGTCTTTTTTCTTTTCTTTTTCTGATAATTAACTTTGGAGTTTGAAAAGATGGAGTTAGGCATGCAATCACCAGGACAACAGTAACTAATAACTGCCAGGCAAGCAGGGAAGTACATCTAACATTTGTGCAGCTATACAATGCATTTACACAAAGATATTGCAGACATGGCCGATAGGTCCCTGGGTGCACGTGTGCGCGTGTGTGGCGGGGGGTGCTTTTTTCCTATGCTTTTTTCGCCCGTGTTGTCATTCTTGCTCCCCGCATGTTTTACATGCTCCTCATTCTGAACAAAGAGACGCCAAAACATAACGCAGCCACCATACAAACATAACCAGAACTCAAACACGGAAGTCCTCTGACTTTTAAATCAGTGTCAGCTATCTCACAGTTAACAAGAACAGTGTAAGCGAGGACACCTCACAATCAAAGGACAAAGCAATTACACTATTTTCTACTTCTGTGCCTGGTTCTGTGTTTTATCTTGGCTTTAAATTTTGTTTAAAACTTTTGTTTATTTCAGCTCTCTTGCTCAAAACATTATGTGCTTCTGTAGCCTACATCATTTACTACATCAGTAACTGAATTAGGCCACCCAGCGTGCAGAATACACTAAATCAGTCAGGAGCCCATCACATAAACTTTGCAGCATGGGATACATTTGAACTGTGAAGAAAAACAAAACATGGATTTCTTCAGAGTGTCTCTGACAATACACAACTTTTATTGGTTGGCAAAAAGACGTTGGACCATTTTTTTAGTTTCTCAACATAAATCACCACATGAACTATAAAGCTTTCACATGTTGTTATTCTATAAGGCAGCTTGGTTATAATCACACAGTACTTTTAATTATATGTAATCTCTGAGGTCACCTGGGAGTAGACTGTGTCGCTTTAATTTTCTATCTCAGGGAGGGGTCTTCTCCTGCAACTTGAGGAACACTGGGCATAAATCGAGCTTTGATTTAATCAAATGCAAGTTGTGAAAAAAATAAATAATAATAATTTTCCATTTTCACTATTTCAGTAGCTATATGGGCCCCTCCACAACTGCTGCCCCCTCCTTCGCCTCCCTTTGTTCTCTCCAGCTCTAATAGGTTTTCCCCTGCCACACACAATTCACATTTTTTTTCCTCTTTTTCCCCAGCCCCTCACCCCCTTTCAGTGCATTGCCCAGTGTCGACTGGAGCATTTGAGCAATTTGAAATTAAAGCAAACAATGGGCAAGCACTCCCAGGGCCCTCTCGCTCACTATATTACACGGAGAACGCTCGTGTGCTCTTGCGCATTATTGGCAAGTCATTACGTTTCTCTGGAAACCGAGAGCGGGAGCTCGCTCAGAGGAATCGGTGATGCAAGCAGCAGCTGAGTGCTTGGAATAGCATGTGTGTTCTGGAGCATCCTTGGCAACAGCATGAGGAGCTGTCAAAACAAAACTGTATATTGACAAGGCGATATGTGCAGCTTGATATAGGCGTCCCAGAGCCCATATCCTTCCAAGGATAAAAATGTATTCCCGAAGGGAACCCTGATTCCTTCCTTTAGTTTATCCATTCTACAGTAAAAAAGCTACACCTTTAGGGTCTTCTATGTGTAACTGTAGTCAAATGCAGGAGGTGTAGCATAATTCAGTTACTTGAAAACAGTTACAACCCAGAGTGACAATAGTGCAGGAGTGTGAGTATTCATATTATCCATTATTCAAAGCAAAGAGATAAATACAGGAAAAAGCAGTCCTTCGGTATTCATTTAAGTTGCAAAAAAAAAAAGTGAATAGGCATAGCAAAATGTAATAAAACGCTTATGATCCAGACAACAAAGATCCATGTGTGGATGTGTACAAACACACACATACATGTCTTCATCAGCACATCCAAAAATAAATAAATAAATAAATAAACACAATCTTCTTATACAATAGTAGAAAAGAGAAATGATGATGCAGGCAATGGTTTACTAGAGGACTGCCTAAAACAGATCTTGTCTGTGTGTATGTGTTTGTGTGCATGTGTGTGTGTAGTCTGCTAAAACCCTCTGAATCAAAAAGGGTTTCTGTAGGTGTAAACATCCAGCATTTATCCAGGGCTGCATCCACTTGACAGATGTACAGTGTGTGTGGACAGCCCGGTCATAATTACAGAATACCTTAAATGATATAAAAGCCCTGAGTGCTATACTTTGAGGTCACCAATAGTCATTTAGAGCAGACACTGCAATTTTCTATCTCAGCGAAAGCTCCTCTCTGACAGTCTAAGGGACTTTTATTCAGGCTTGCAAGAAAATAAAGGTTTTTGTTACTGATTACTCTGTCAGTTTGCTCATTGATTAATAAATCAGTTTTGATGACCTGAAGGCTCACAATGCTCACCAATGTAAAGACGAGTGAAAATACTCGTAACTTTTTTTCTGGACTCAAGAGCAAGAGAGAGAAAAAAGGATGATATATTTTATGGTAATGTGATGATATAAAGCAGAGAAAAACAGTAAACTGGCTCATTTAAGAATCTTAACCCAGATGATTGTTTTTGTTTTGCTTTTAGATGACATAACTGAGTATTATAGTGTGTAACATAGTGTACAATAATACGATCTACTTCAGTGAGTTATTTAATGGGTTATCATAGATTTATCTGAAATCGCTAATTTATTTAGTGTTTTCTAAATGTGTTTATTATGTAAATAAAGATTTCTCACCAAACTACAATTAAAGAGCAGCTTTCCACAGGACAGATTTAAGTCATCTTAGAGTTCAAACAAAATTAACTTATTTTACACACTGGGAGCGCTGGGGTTTTGTTTTATTTTTTTAAATTTGCCCCCCTCATAAAGTGAACTGCTTTGGACCGTCTCGCTTTTCTCTCTGCTCCAAACTTTGAAACCATGTGGAACCAAAATGGTACGTTTGCTGCCGGCGATTCTCTTTTCACTTCCTGTCGGTAGGTACGCACACACGCGCGCCTTGCGTCATTACGCACTTCCCCTCCTCTATGAAGTTCCCCCTCTTCTCACCGTCGCGCCGTGACGGGGATGTTTTGGTGAAAGAAAATACAGCGTCAAAAGGGGACGTAAACACGTTTAAAACATGACATTAAGGCCCAGCGGGACCTAAAGTGGCGTCGTAGGGGAGCGAGAAGGCGTCTTCGGCGAAGCTTTGGGTCCGCCTTTATGTATTCCTCCGCATGTCCGCTTTCTTCGTAGATGGTGTCCGGCGAGCGTTGTCTGGCGGCGGACGACGAGTTCTTGACGAGTAACATGAAGGAAATGATTGGAGGGTGCTGTGTGTGTTCAGACGAGCGAGGCTGGGCGGAAAACCCGCTGGTGTACTGCGACGGACACGGCTGCAACGTCGCCGTGCATCAAGGTAAGCCACGGAGCTTGTGCTAGGAGCTAGCAGTTAGCTCGCAGGCTAGTTATCGTTGTCTTGTTGCAAGGTTATGGAGCCTCCTCCTCCTCCTGCTCTCACCAAGGCCAGGCTCAACGCATGTCGCTGGCCCCTCCGATGATTTGGCTTGGCAGCTAACAGGGCCTGTGTACCCTTCTGCTGATGATGGCTGACAGCAGCTTTATGCACACATTTCTAGCTGCGAGGCGTGCTGTTTTCCCCCTCTACTAAGACCTGTCACGTGCTCAGAGAAGGAGGGTTACTCTCCTCTTGACAAACGGTATAAACTTAAGAGGTGAGCTCGAAACCAGCAGTTTAAACCATGCATGCAGTCAACGGAGTAAACAAATACAATAAAACTGGCTCTAAATAAAGAGAGGAAGCAGTTTAGTGTGGAAAACATTTTTTGTTTTGTGTTTTAGGGGGTCCAGTTCAAGAAGCAAAACAGTGATTTCTGCACGCTAACTCTCACTCACTCACGTGATGACGTCCACTGTTTACATAGCTGGTCATGTGTCCATTTGGCAAACACAGTGGGATGCTATTTAAAATGTCAGCAGCTCTGAAGTCAGTGCACGGCAGTGTATTTGGACTTGTAGCACTGTTTTGTTTGTAACAATTTGTGGCAGTGTTTAGACTGCTTAGTAGGCCTGTCTGGCAGCAGCGTGATTGTAAGTAAACATAGGAAACGGCTAAAGTGTTACATACTTCACTGCACTCATCAGGTCAGATGTTAACACTTTCTTTGTATTTATCTCCCTCTGTTCAAATTCGAGCTACATTTTGTAAGGTTGAAGAAATCTGCGAATAAACCTTGTTGAATATTTGAATTTCTTCCATAAGATGTCAGGTATCAGTACTCTGTAGAAAATATGGTTTCCCTAAGGACAATACTTTTAATTTTTCAAGGAAAACTGACATTTGAAGCTTTGAAAGCTACTTATTCTCCAGAAATGAACTAATTAAGATTAGTTGGTGCTCTGATTCAGACAGCACTCGTGTCATGATCTGCCCTTGAACCGCAGCTGAAACGGCTTCTTTTTAAGTTAGGCTAGTATCAGATTAAGTTAACTAGGAACATTCAGTAGTCTATAATGGAGATGCAATGATTGGAAATTTCTTGACCAATCCTAATTTTCCAGAACTATTGAAAATAGTTTAGTTATAACTCACAGCATACACAAATGAAAATAAACTTTTCTTTAAAGAAAAATATTATGTTCATGCTGATGAGATTATTACATTTGAGAATATTCCCCAAACTACAGCAAGTTACAGGATCTTCTCTCACTTAACTGAAAAGAGGGTACTCTGTTACTGAAAGAGGTACAAATAATTAACCACTGAACCACTTTCACTTGATGCTGTCTAGCTTACCAAATAAAAGGCAGGCGAAACAGATTTGTATAGCAAAACAAATGTCAGGTACTTGCATCATTTTACAGTATGTTTATAAATTCCCCAGATAACAGAAAATCTTTTTTTTTTTTGTCTTTTTTGTTTTACTTGTCTAAATGATTTTCTTCATAACTACTTTGATTCGTTGCTCATACTGAGGCTGCTAATTTATGGGTGGCTAGCCTTAGCTTTAGCCACTTTCCCTTTGCTCTCTCTTTAGGTATCTCACTAGGTTATGAATGTATTTGCAGTTCATTTAACTGTGTCTTCATTCACTTCCATGATAACAAGGTATCCTGCTTGCGACAAATTGACTGTGCTGCATCGTGCACAGACCGCTCTTATTCGGTCCAGTCACCCGTCTTTGTCAAAACCACTAGAAATGTTTTGATTGATTGTTATAACTGAGCATTTTTGGAAGTGACGAACACTAACTGCTGTTAGAGTAGCAAACAAAACTGCACGTAATTAATTGGCTCTTTCTTATAATATTTCAAACTGAATTGCGTAGTATGTGCAGAAGATCTTGATATTTCATCTTTGTTTGGTCACTCGTGTCTTCATTTGAACTCTGTAACCCTTGGATGTTTTGTTCTCTAAAATCTGGATTAAAGCCGTTTATTCCAGCGGATTATGGGCTCTGGTCAGATCCGAGATAATCTCGAAATGTGTAGAGGTAGGCTATTTAGGGTAGTCTGGCCGCATTTAGGGTAGCACTGCCTTGTGCTTGTACCTTTACAACAAGTCTGATTCTCTTAAATCGAACTTGAAAACAGAAAATGTGTTAATTTAAATTGAAAACAAGTCTATTTAAATAATGTAAATCAGGGTTTTTCCCTTGTTGTGTGGAAGTATAAAGTGTAAATGATAAATCTGTGACCTTGTTAATGCATCATCCATGTAGAAAGTTTAATGAAAAACATCTAATATAGTTAGTCTAGCTTTAAATGTAGCCAGTTATGATTTTGACATTTCCTCAAAATTTTTGTAGTTGTGTTGGAAGCCAAATAAATGCTGTGGCTTGTTTCAGTGAAACATCTTTGTGTATGAGTTAATAACTGATGCCAATATAGATTCCTAATGACAATGGTTTGCTAGTGATTTCACCATTGTCCCAAATATTTTGTAGGACAAGGAAATGATGTCAGTGCAGTGGCATAAAAATAGCATCTGTGAAAGCGGCGTGCTCAGCAGTCTGTTAGATCAAAAAGCTGTTCTCCTCCATCCAAACCAGCTTAGTTGCACATGTCAGTTTCTGGCACATGTGAGGAGTGGAGATGATGTGATGTTTATGAAGATGTGAAACATCAGGTTATGAAAATGTTTTTTAAGACTGACTGTGTTGTGGTTACTGTGACTGACACTGTTTGTTTCTTTACCCCAGCCTGCTATGGCATTGTGCAGGTGCCCACTGGTCCTTGGTTTTGCAGAAAGTGTGAATCTCAGGAGCGAGCAGCCCGCGTGGTGAGTCACAAAGCCCTCTACCCTTTCATCACTGATGATTTAATGCCTACAATCACAGGACTTATCCTGAGCCGTCCTATTGTTAATAAGCGAGCCAAGAAAATGGCACCAGGTTGGGTGGTGCGTCATTTTTGTGTCTGTTTATAGATCCTGGATAAAAGCGGTTGTAAAAACAAGTCCCACAGCATGTTTCTTCTGCAATATTCCTTAATGTCAGGAAAGACAAACTTGAGGGAGCTTGTAATTGCTTCTCTATTAGTCTGCAGCTTGTACAACAAGACTTGCAACTCTTTAGCACTGCAAAACAACAAATAGCTCAAGTTCATTTGTGAGAGTGTTGTGAGATCATGCTAAGAGATTGTAAGTCAGTGTTCTGAGGGTAGAATCATGATTCAAGTAATGATCCTTGTCACAAATTTGGTTAAACGATATAATCATGTTCATAAGAGTCCTCTCCAGTTATGCCACATTTCCGCTAGCACCTTCTCTGTTCGACTCTGCTCTACTCTAGACTAGAGCAGAGTCTGTTTCAGTCGTACCACCTTAATGTGCGTGTTATAGAAAGATGGGCCTAAAGTCCCAGGATGCCATTTGTGCTTGACACAACACAACGATGGAATACATGGAGGCGACGGCATACCTGCTGCTCAGTCTGTCACAAAAGATGTCTGCAGCTCGTTGTTGGATCACAGTGCTAGTTTGTGTGTGGACATTTCCCTTGCTGTTGGGATGCGGTAATGGCGAATTTGAGTGTTGTGAAGAAGTCTCTTCATGACTCATTGAGTGACGCCATTGACTGAGCAATCGGTGGCAGTGATGCTGTTCACATTTTTTGGATCAACTCACTTCAAAAAATATAACTGGTAGCCAACGGAGAACCTTAAAAACCAGCTCGAGTAGGTGTTAGTGGGAAAAAAGGCAGGAAAAAAAGAAGCTACTGATAACTCATAAAAGTCTGCAAGAGTGGAAGTCTCCACCACTTCGGCTTTTCTCTGAGGATGTTTTATTCAGGATGTAAATTTCAATCCCAAGTTTGACTCTGATGTGCATCGGTTGGAATCGTGTTATAACCAGTCACTCTTTTGCTTAGTTTATGTGGAGTAAGAAAGCTTGGACTTTGCTGTTTTGATACAATCTGTGAAATTCCTCCAAAAAGTAGATTTATGCCAAATTGAAATCATCCACGCAAATAAACTGTGGTCTGTTTGCCCAGCTAGTATGGTTAATATTGGCTGGTAAGAACTGTGGTGTAGACAAAAAACATCATTTTAAGTTTAAAAAATGGTTTCAGAATATGTCCCAAGTGGCCTCTTGGTGCAGTTTTGTTTATGGTCAGAAATCAAATGGAGCAAACATAATTTTGTAATAGCAGACATGTGGTTTAAGCTTATTTCAACAGTCACACTCCTAATAAATCAATCTGCTGCTTGGAAGCTGTCCTAAAACCAACTGCAGCATCTAACTGCATAAGCAGCATAATGTAAACAATACGGTAACCATGGTAACGCATGCTCCTGCCAGCATGTGGGCGCAGAGAGTTTACGCCGATCAGTTGAAGCTGAGGTCTGTAGTATTTGTGTCGTGTCTGTGTCGTGTGGGTTAATTCCATTAAAAGCACAGAGTGATCCTAGAATATTTCCAAGTAGGGTGGCTCTTTCTTTATTGTTTATTTGTTTGTTTTTTGGTTCTGTTTTGCCCGTTTGTTATTGTTCATGACCTGTGATGGATTTGCTGCCTGCAAGAATAATGTAGTAATAATGCTAATGTGCATTTATTTCTTTGAAGTCAAAGACTTTAAACATAGATGTTAAAATTGTTAGACATCACACTAATGTGCTGTTAGTCACCAGGATTTGGTGAAAATAGAGACACCATAGTACTGCACCTCTGTATTTAATGTCAGTGTGTGAAAATGTGTTGATTTTTTACTTTAAACTGTTTAAATATGTTTAAAAAAATCTTAAATGGAATTCTTAAAGAGATTTGTAGCAAAGCGTGACATTTTGTGAACAAAGCAGTGCAGGAATTACTTCAAATTTGTGCACATTAGCAGAAAGGTTTGACTCATCGATCTGCTTGTAAGTAATTAAAATTCACATCAAGCTCAGTTGTATTTTTGAAACCCAAGTCACAATTCGAAGTTAGAAGGAAAGATACGTTTGCTCTATATTTAACACTTCTTCCTGAATATTCAACATATCATTTGATTTTGAAGGTCATCTGCAGTTGATTGCATTATATGGTGATACACAGCAAGAGGATTTGGGGCATTACTTTCTTTAATATTCAACTAAATTATTAGTATTGTACGTGCAGCACTGAAGGGACTATGACACATTTTTGTGATTCCTGTACGCTCACACAGAGCGACCCTGCTCTTCATGCCAATGTTGTAGAAAAACCATTCAGCACTGGTTACACTTGGCTATTGTTGATGCTGACAGTCGCTCGGGCTTTGCTATTAGATGTTATGACTTGATATTGTGTTTATCTATTCATCCTGTTCTCTTTTTAAGGCCACTTATGTAGAGTAATTGTAGCAGGTTAAATCATTCATCTCTGTATGGAAATAAAGTCAGCTGGGATTGGGGGATGTCCCTATGATATACAGTCATATGAAAGAGTTTCCACAGGATTGTGTGCAGTTGTTTGAAAAACTAAGCCCACTTCAGTAGCTTTTAGAACCATCTTTAGCAATGATAACTTCAAATAATGGTTTTCTGTCTCTTTATCAGTCTCTCACATCGCTGAGGAATTTTGGCCCACTTTTTGTTGCCTCACTTCTTTATTTCTTATACACAGCATTCAAACCTCCAGGCCTCCAGTTGAAATCTGGAATTTGACTGGATCATTACAGCACCTTGATTCTTTGCTTTTTCAGCCATTCTGTTGTAGACCTACAACATTATTTATATCTACTTGTTTTTATTTTATGGGAAGCAGATCTGTGTGTAGGATCATTGTCCCGTTGCATGACCCAATTTCAGCCAAGCTTAAGTTGTCAGACAGATGGCCTCAAATTTGACTCTAGAGTACTTTAGTATACAGAGGAGTTCATGGTCCACCCAATGAATGCAAGGTGCCCAGCGCCTATGGCTGCAAAACAAGCCCAAATCATCACCCCTCTACCACTGTGCTTGGCAGTTGTTGGTCTTGTCTGTCCAAAGGACATTGTTCCAGAGGTCTTGTGGTTTGTTCAGAGCTAACTTGCAAGCTAAGGATGTTGCCATGTTCTTCTGGCCTTCTCCTGACAAACCTTTCCAACAAGCTTTATTTATTCAGTCATTCTGAAATTGTTCTGTCGTGACTTTAATATTTAACGTGATAACCGAGGCCTGAACAGTCTGAGATGTAGCTTTCAGGTTTTTTGCATTTTTCTAAGCATTGCACAGCCTGAGCTTAAGGTGAATTTGCCTGGATATATACCTCTGGTAAGAAGCTGCCCAAACGTCTTTTTCCCCCCCTACAGATACACTCACACTTGTTGATGATCAATTAATCAAGGCCATTTGATTAACAGCACATGGCTGACTTCCTCCTCCTCCTGAAAGCAGTAAGGGAGTCTCTGTTTCCCTCCTGTGTGCGAGCTGTGAGAGCTGCACATAAGTAGCCACTCAGTTCTGTCTGTGCCACTCACAATTAGAGATGAGTGTTATAGTGGTTGGATGGCACTACATGAACATTAAATTATACCAAATTCCCAGCCCCATCCCTGGTGGCAGCAGCCACCAGGTTTAAGACCGTTACTGGCGGAAACCCTGGATGATGGTCACTGATCACTAATAGCTTGCTAGTCGAGACAATATTCAGGTCGTTCAGCCTATTACTGCATTCAATCAATATTATTTTTAAATCATTGTCGGGTGTCAGCATTTCCACATATAACTGACATGTGACACCAGGATTCATGAGTACACAGGCGAACACACGGGTCAGATTAGCATCTGTGATATGTTTGAAATGCCCGTCTGTGTGAGAAGCAGCTACGGCTCTATATGGTTGGAGTGATGGCAGCTTATTATACAAACATAGGTTAGTGATTTAATATTTAAAGATGACAATTTTTGTCAAATACACACGAGAAAATGCCAACATAATACATATTAATATGTAGTGCCTTACTGCCCATCTCTTCTATAATGCGTTTTTGGTATACAGTGTGAGGGTCATCACACTGCAACAGTTAGGTTATACAGAACTGACCTGACAGCAGCTTACTCTGACTTATTAAACAGAGGATTGTAATGAATTTTATATTACTGAATGACATGTTTTATTACTGAGCAGCACCCATCATTGTACCGCTCCCTAGTGAGACTTGAAAGCTTGCTTGAATTAAGCAAACTTTCATTTAAGATGAAATGGCCATGTGTACCATTCCATATTAAATCTCTGTACAGATTGGTGGAAGCTGCAGTATACGGGGGCATATTAACTAGGAAGAATAAATTACAGGTCCTCACAGACTTGGCTGCTACTCCTACTTTATGTGGTGTAACTGCCTCCACCAGCAGGTTTCTCTTTGGCATGTTCCTACTGTCCTATGCGTCATGCCTGTCAATCTGCATACTGTTCCAGTTACTGTCACATTTAACTAAATAATTTTTTAAAGCTTGAACCTCTTTAAGCCTTGAAACTGTTTCGGTGTGGCTTGTTAGACGGATAATATTTGCTGTGTGTGGTGAACCGGGTGTACCAAAAAGAATCATCTGATTTCAAAAGGCTGCGGTTTTTGAAGTAATGGAGATGGAAGCTTGTGGTAAATTTTAAAATACTGAGCTGAATATAAAGTTTTACATGCAAAATGTTTGCAAGTGCTGAATGTGTTCCCCTCTGGATGCATGGCATATGTCCATACGATAGTCAGACTCCCATACTTTTGTGAGCATGTCTGGAGTCACTGCAGCCGCTGTTGTTGTGCTGCCTATCGGGAAACACGTGAAACTCAGGGATCTGCTCTTTCTAACAGTACCTGTTTCAGTTGTTACCGTTGAATGTCTGTGGAATCAAAGCATTTTGAAATTGGATTTTACTTTTTCATAAACCCTGTATTAAGGGATTTACACACCCGATGTGTAAAATCTGTGCAAATATTTTTTTGGACTCACCTATTTTTATTGCAGCCGTTCACACCGACCGCATAATTTCGCTGGACAAATTTGCAGCATTTATTTATTAATTTTTTTTTAGCCAAGCCTGATTATTCTGATTCCAGTAGACAGATCTGAGCAATCAGACTGCTGCATTTGGCAGCATGTGCACTCGCAGCTCAAAACACGCACTGGTGCTCCATATACAAATAGTAAAACAATACCGTTTTACCTCAGACTCAGAGCTAGACGCTGCTCCGGGTCAGTCGGCTCTCTGGAATTATTTCTCTGCTTCCTCAGATGTGGTCCCAACTTCTCCAACAAGAGCTCGAACTGCCCCACTGACACCCTAAAATATGTACAGCAACTGCTTCGACTCCTGGATCAAACCATAAAATTCTCCGTGCTGCTGCCTCCTCATGAGAACTGGGTAAACCCAGAATCTCAGTTTCTTCCTTGTCTTGTCTGTCTTCCTTTTTGTGTGTGTGTGTTGTGTTGTGTTGTGTTGTGTTGTGTTTTGTTTTGTTTTTGTTTTTTTGTTTTTTTGTTTTTTTGTTTTTTTTAAGTACAAATTTTCTACAAAAATGCAACCCATTCGGTATTTGTAAGAGCTCAGTGTGTAACTTTATAGTGCAAAAGTAGTTCCTGGTTATGTTCCTGCTGAACGCAGCCTTGGCAAACGTTGCATTTCTAATAACTGCAACAGGATGGTTGGGCTCACCTGCTCTCCACAAACACCTGAATCATCACACATAAGGTTGTCCTCTCAAATTAATATGATGTCTTTAAACCTTTAAGGATCGGACTAGACTTTGTCAGTCCAAGATTAACTTCATGTTGCTGTTGACACAGGTGCTGGAATGATCTGCCTACTTTCTCTATTCATGTGTGAAAAGCAAATATACTTTTGCTGATATTTATCATGATGGCAAACTGCTTTTCTTTTAACTCGTGGAACTAATGGAGGAATAGAAGAAATCTGATAATAACTTGCAAAGTTTCAACCACAAAAGTCTCAAAGTACTCTGCTGTCATATTAAAAATGCTTAGTTTGCTAGGATCACCCTCTACCTAAGTGCATTTGTAACAGTCTCTGTGTGTACAAAAACTTTACCTTGAAGTTGATGGGTCATTTACTAAATGACCATGATTTTTGTGTCTCCAGCTTTTCTAGAAAAGTCGGTGTGTAGTTCAGACTCCTAAACTCCATGTCTGATTTATAAACTTAGTAAAAAAAATGCATGTAATGTAGTGAATAATTGTTATGTCAAGCTTTATTTAAGTGAAACAGAGTAAAAGGATTACCTTTGATCGTTATTTTATGGCAACACATTGCCAGATTTGAAGCAAAGTAACAGCTCAGGTCTATTTCATATGCCATTTACTGCTAAAGGATTTGCGATGCTTTAATTGGATTAATAAGTAAATTAAGTTTACCGCTGCAACTGAGTACACGCACTTGGATGAAACACAACCTTAGGTGGCAGGTAGCGAGGGTGTTTTCCCAGTGAGTTTCTGGCCGTGTGCCCAAGTCTGGGCGACAGGCCAGCTCCTCTCACTTACACTCATATTTGTCATACCTCGAGTAAGCACATGAGGTTGACCTCTTGTTTCTGACCTGATGTTTCGTCTTTACCCACAGAGGTGCGAGCTCTGTCCCCACAAAGATGGAGCGCTCAAGAGGACGGACAACGGAGGTATGCTTCTTCTCAGCTGCGCACACACACTCATACATGCTGCCATCTGTGGTTAACCTCTTGTGGATTTTGTCATTAATTGCATGTCACCAGCAAGTTTAAGGGCTGTAAGCATGCTGGGAGAGTTATGTTGCTGTTTGTTGTATGTGCTGCCTCTGTAGCGTCCTTGCCAGTCCATGTTTTATGAGGGTGTGTCAGTGTGTGTATGTTTATGGGGGGGCGGGACAGGATGGGTATAGTGCGTAGCCTGTGAGGAGTCTCCACACCGGGTTCATTGGGAGGTCAGCTTGTTGGAGACTGTAAATATTCTGTGTGCATGTGAGTGTGTGTGTGTGTGTGTGTGTGTGTGTGTGTGTGTGTGTGTGTTTGAGTCAGGCCGAGAGAGGCACAGCTGTGGGATTGTGTCCAGGCCTGCAGGGAGGCATCAGGACAACACTAACACACACCATTTTACTACTTTCTCTTTTATTTTACCCTTCCCATGACCCCTCTCTCCCTCGTTTTTCCTCCCATTTTTCTTTCACAATCTTTTCCCCAACTCTGTTACTCCGCTCATCAGTTCCTCTTCACTTGTTGATCTGTGTGGTGGTAGTTGTTGTTTCAGGTGGGACCGTAATAAAGCAGAGCAAGGTCTGAAATGGGTATTTGATCCATCATGTTAACATATAGCAGACCGAGAAAAAAGGAATAGCATAGAAAGGCAGAAATTCAGTCTTTATCCGTCTTCCCGGTCTCCATTTTACAGCTTAAGGTTAAAGATGATCATTTTCAATCATCATCTGTCTTCATATATTTAATTGGGACCCGATTGAAACACATTTGGTTCTCACAGGTTGGTTGTAAGACATGTTAAACTCGAGGCAGCAGTTTGAAAACTTCAGGTGTTGATTTGGAGCGTCATTGTAAAGTTTATAACTGTACTGTGACAGCAGAGACCACATGGCTCCTAATGTTTCAAGTGTTTATCAAAGGAGCTAATAAGCCATTATCAGAAGCTCGCAGCCCTTTGCCTCATTTTTAACTTTTGTCTCAGCACGGTGGACTCTGTTAACTTCTTGACGTCACAGATGTCGGTAAAACGATGCTTTGTCCGGTTCTTGTGGGATTAAAGTGCGAACGCTGAGTTTGAGGAGGAAGGTTGTGCCAGTTTTATAGTCCTGTTTTATAGGCCTCTTCCAGATTCTTGGAGGGACTTCAAAACAACAACATGCCCCCATTTTACACTCGCTCCCTCCCCTGTGTCCCGCCCTCTGCCCTCCTCCCCCTGTCCCGCTCACCAGGTCAAAGGCAGGTCAGGGGTTCAACTGTAAGTTTAAGCCTGTTTTTGTTTCCGCTATGGGGGGAAAAACAGACACCTCCAGTGTAGCAGGAGACTCCCACCTCCATCTGACCTCCTGTTCACCTCCTCCAACTCCTCCTCAGCTCGTCGTCAATTCTGCTGCCACTCCACCATGCCTATGCCTCACTGTCATTCTGCTGCCCCCAGTTTGTCTTCACTGACAGGAAGCTGTGCATGTGTTAAGGCTCAGTGAATGGCTGCCTAGGTCGATGACCACCAATTTACAAATTAAAGCATTTGAGATTCTAGATTGAAACTCCAAGAGATGAGGTTCACACTGACTTATCAGCAACCCTAAAGTTACATTTTTAGGTTTGTGTGACACTGCACAGCTTTAAAGGAGATGATTTATGTATAATGTAGCTTCAACTAGGGGATAACCTTAAAGTTGAACTTTGTTGACATAATTTGCTGTTTAAAACAGGTGATAAATGATTGCAATACTAAGCATAGCACAAAATGGTAATAATTGAAATACTGTCACATTGTAAGTAAAGTATTGTAGTGTAACATCATATCATGGGGTATTCCCACCTCTAGATTCAGCATGGTGATTGGGAAGGGCCCACAGTGGCTGTGTTGGTTTGGGCTTTTAGTTTCAACCATTAAAAAACAAATAAAAGAAAAGTCAATTTTGTGATTGACCATCAGATGAAATAGTGTTTGTCCTCTGGGTTTACTGTGTCCACTTCCCACGTAAAGCTTTACTATATTGGGAAAACTTGAAACTGACAAAATGAACTTCGCTCACATTTTATTACTTTTGAGGACTTTTGCAGGCGGTTAACATTTCTACTTGTAAACTGTGAAATGTTACCACAAATGACCTTTGAACCTATATCTGGTAGACGTAGAGGTCTGATAAGTCTTCTTTGTGTATCTTTACAGGCTGGGCCCATGTGGTTTGTGCCCTTTACATACCTGAGGTGGAGTTTGCTAATGTGTCAACTATGGAGCCCATAGTACTCCAGTCTGTGCCACATGAGCGCTACAATAAGGTAACAAATGTATCTATGCTCTTAGACTTTACAAAAACAGATGTATAATGTCATACTGTGAGTAATTAAGTCCAGCCGTTTTCACACGTGCACTCTGGTTGGGATAATGTCGGGAGAACCGAGTCCAGGCGTTGTCTGAAGTTGCTGTTTCTCATTTGTAGCACCCAACAGGGAATTGTGTGTGTCATACGTTTTCTCACTACTGGAAATATTCCCTTAAGTGAGGTGGAGCGCCTGGGTAGATCGTGCAGGAGGCACTTCACATGGCCCAGATCAGTCCCTGTGAAATCTCTGAATAATTACATAGACCTTCTGCTGTCGCTCTGACAATGGAAAGTCCATTTAATGTCCAATCATCTGAAGTACATGTGTGAAAATGGCTTATGTGTTTAAATTGAAATGGGTTTCCCTAACTGTATGTTTGCGTGTACAGACATGTTATATCTGTGAGGACCAGGGGAGAGAGAGTAAAGCAGCCACTGGAGCCTGTATGACCTGCAACAAACATGGCTGCAGACAGGCCTTCCATGTCACATGGTGAGACTCACTTGCATCGCATTAACCTCACTTGACAAAGACACACTTTGTTTCTTCAGCTGTTCACTCGCTTTTAAGACCTCTAGCTTTTAATGCTGACAGCACTGGGCAAAAAAAAAAAAATAGCATGCAAGAAAATATATATTGAGTAACTTTAAATGTTAATATTGCCAACATGACCTTTAATGGTAGTTTGCTATGATTGCTTGTCTTACATTAGTTTAAGAGCTGAGCGCATTTATCGACCATTATAAATGCCAATACCACTATATCTGCAAACAGCTAGTATTGGCCGATGTATCGATATGTTGGACTCTAATGCTAACCGGCTAGCAGTAGTACTCTTTGGTAATACCACTTTGTTTTTCAAGAGGCAGTAGGGACTTACTAAAGCACTTAACTTGCCTATCAGTCCAAAATGAAAGGAAGAAATAGTTCTGTTCTTACAGAGTGCATATTCTAATGGATATTTCACATTTACATTGGAGCAGCTGTGTAGCATTGCCACCAATGCTACTCATAGAAATCATCCAACAGCTCAGCTAGCCTCTGTGGTAATTTCCAGGAGAGGCTACACATCCTCAGTTTCCAGCAGGGTCTTTGCTGTCACAAGTCCAGGAAATGAGGTTGGGTTAAGAAGTTGAAGAAGTGATAGCAGCTGGGTTTTGCATCCATACTGTTCCTTAATGGGATGCTAACTAGCTAATAAATTGGATTACGTCCTGCAAAACATGCAGCGGGAGTTTCTAAACTCCAGAACTTCACATCTCAAAATGAGCTAATTTCATATTGTGCTGCTGGTAATGTAGCTCTGGGATGTCAAGCTTGTGTGTATTTGGATAAGTTTCTAGTTACTCACAATTATTAGTGTAGTACTGCACTGAATCTGCATTGTTTTCTCCAAGTAATTATGCACTGCTACAATCTGAGTCGTTATTCAAACACTTTGAAAATGTTATTCAAAGTTTGTGCAATGAGGCACAATCACGATGAAAGTTGTTTCAGTATCTCTGGGTGATGTAACAGAAATGACAGTAGCCCTGTTTTAGAAAAAGGAAGTAGACCTTTTATTTTCCTCTTTTTTTTTTTCTTCTCTTATTTTAATAAATATTTCTTCATCTTGTCCAAACCAGTATTCCTCTTCCTCGTGTACAAATCATAATTTTTTTTGTCGACTGTCTGAATTTCCCCCCACTACTCTCCACCACAGTGCCCAGTTTGCAGGATTGTTATGTGAGGAACAGGGATCAGATGCAGACAATGTCAAATACTGTGGATATTGCAAATACCATCACAGCAAATTGGTAAGTGTACTCTCAGATTTTTGTCATTTTCCAGAGATAACTTGCCTATTGTGTCTGTTTTAACAATGTGGATGAGAATGTGTTTTCCGTTCCACTAACTACGATTGGTGATAAGCATGTAGACATAACACACACATCACACAATTACTGGTTTACTTTCAGCACAGTGAGAAATGCCGTTCTTTTATCTCTACTTTTGTGAATTGTACATAATCTTTTCTTTGCTATTTTTCTTCTATCCCCATCGCCCCTCTCATAACTGTGTCCTTCTCCTTAATGCTTTTTTTTTGTCACATCTTTCTCCTCCTTTTTTCTTTTCCAAACTTTCAAGTTGCCCCCCTCCCTTTAGCCAGCTTCCTGCAACTTTCAAAGACTCTTCCCTCAGTCTCACTGCTTTCTTCTTTTTTCACCTTTTCCTTCCCCTCTATCTGTCTCACTCCATCTAGCGTTATCCGTTCTCCCATCGCACCCTCCACTTCCCCATCTGTTTGTCCAAAGGAAGCACTGGCTACAGTGGACTGGCTTTGCAGTTGCTGGGGCCCTTTGAGCCTGTATTGTACTGTAGGGTCAAACGGGGATAGTCGTTGCTATATCAATTGTGTAATATGACTTCTTGTTTTCAATTCAGTGTAGTTTCAGTTCGTTTCCAGAGGGCATCTTCTCATTTCAGTTTAGTTTTTGTTAGTTTCAGTGTTAGTTTTAGTGTTTTAATTATTATCTTTCATTATTTCACAGAGAGCATATGTCAAAGACAAGATATAGGAAAAGAGACTGGTATAATAAAAACGCATGAAAGCAGTTCACTCAGTGTTGTAGACATCCAAAGTCTCAGTAAACATGTTCATCTGCGCTTCATCAACACTAACCACAGCCTTGATTGTGACCAAAGACTGCCTAGCCCCATTTTCACAAGGCAAGCAATTGTCAGTGTTACTTTTAGTAAGGAGCTACCCTTGTGGCCTTTCAGGACAGATGCTTTATTTTTAGTAGTTGGTGAAACGTAGTACTAGTGGGGGGAAAAAGATGTGTTTACATTTTTTAGCTCGCTGAGCCTATTGAACTCTATTGCTGGCTTTTTAAATGTTACCATTTCCTTGGAGTTGACACTAAACTGATTAACACTGTATCAACAGTCTTCGTTGTTGTGATGTCAATACAAATTTTACATACAGTCGGCAGTTTGCATGTCAAAGCTGAACAACCAAAACAGTAGCTTATCTAGGAGAGGTAGTCTAACCTGTCTGGGTTTGGTTGGCATAGCAACATTTGTTTCTGACTATATCAGAGTTGAGATATTTTAGTGTGTTTGGCCTAATAAACATTTTACTTTGTAAACAGACTCAACAGCAGCTTCATTGGCTGTGGGTTGGGCTATGCCAAGAAAAAAGCTGCATTAAAAATGGAAAAATAAAATCCCAATAGATATTATTGGCCTGTTACACAGAAAATCACACGAAGGCGGGCCTCTACACACTGGCCAGCTACATGTCACCATCAAGCAGAATTTAGTGACACAAAAGAGCTATGAAAGGGCATATGAAGACAAAAATGTAACATCTGGATACTCGGTGGATGTGTATCCAGAGATTACTCGTGGTGCCACCAGTTTTGCATGCACACCTCTGCATCAGCTGGGGGGAGAAAAGCAAATGTGAAAAACAGGAATGAACTATTATGATTTGTGGAACAATGGTGGGATGGAACGAGAAGGCAGGCTTTGTGGTGTCAACGCAAACACACGTGCACACACATTTTGCAGTGTTAACAAATGCCGATGGAAAGACTCATGCTGTTACATTGATCGCTTATAAATTACTTTGGATGGTGGGGCATAATGTCATTAACCTGGCACTGTATGGATGACAGGAATGTATGAGAGAGAAACATTGATGGAGAAAGCTGAATGGATTTCATAAAATGGCGCTTGATGGATATTTACACCATGTTAGCTACATATTTTCAGTTGAATCGCTGAGTATCTAAATCTAATTAGAAACTTGGATTATCCAGCTTTAGTCTTGATTAAAGAGACATTTACTTCAGGTTGTGTGAATTTCTTTCTTTCTGTATTTTGAGGATTGTAAATGCACGGTTGGGCATTTCTGGCACACGGGTGATGGTCGCTGCAAAACTTTTACTGTTACTAGCCTTGAACCCGGGTTTTAGTCAGAAAAGATTATTGCAGAAGTAATTTGGTGAAGGAAATGATGAGCTCTCAATTCTGCTTTAGGGTCGAGCCTTGTATTGTAGAAGAGAAGAAGGTTCAATAGTTGCTTCTGAGTGTCAGTTTAACATATAATGCCTAAGGCAGCACAGTTCCTGGTTAAAGATCTGTCTTTGAGTGGTGTGGCTGTTATTTGAGGGCAGCGACAGCAATCTGGCCGAGGCTGAGATTAATAGCAAGACTCCAAATATGTACCAGGAAGTCACTTTAATACTAGTTCAGGCAAAGAAGCTTGAAATCAACATAAATACAACTTTACTTGTAGTTAAGATCTTTACTATTGCCCACTAAGAAAAACCAATTGTTTTCCTACTATGGAGTAGTAATTTCCTACACTTGCTTGGCTTTGTTATCTGTTACCGTGAAATTAATGGCCTTAAATGTAATTTTTGAAATTTATTTATTTTTGGCCGTATTGGCCTTTTTGGGGGTTTTGTTTAGCTTTTTTTTTTTGCCTCTGTCACTAAGCTTGCTCCTATAACTGCCATTTTTATATTTTATATGCAATGCTCATTAATGTTTTTTTAATGATCTTTGAATTTTGACTTGTCCCTGAGTTCAGTCAGAATTTATTTATCCTTTTCAGTTTATTATATTTATTTTATTTTTCAATATAAGAGGTTTTTTTTGGGGCCTTCTTTTGGCCTTCTGTCTGTGGACTTCATCCAGTAACTTGGAGTTCCTCTTTACCTTTTAGCGAAGGAGCAGGGGCCGGGGTAGTAGGTCTCAAAGCTTAAGTGACTCTTCCACTCAGTGTATGGATAGACCCCCAGACACGGACAAGAAGGTAAGACAGCCTTAAGATCTTACCCTCTCTATGCCTCCCACCCACGATTGTGGCTCCATCAGAAACATACGCGCTCATTGTTACATGCTCACACTGTGGAGGTACAGGCAGATACACAGTATAAACTTTGAGCAGCAGTTAAAATGAATGTTGGAGAATTGCATTTACGAAAAACTTGAAATGTAGTTTTATTCATTTATTTTTAGCTATTTCTATCCAGATGTCCCAGAAAATAAAAAGGCCTCGCTCATATTACGTGCTTTTAACACGTATGAGTTTGCAGAGCAATTTGTGGACGCGCAGAAGGCAAATGAGACGAAGCTTTGTGGAGGGTCAGTGTAGTCATGTTGCATATTGATCTGTCGGATTGGCTGTCCTATAGGTTTGTTTTTTACATAAAAGTTGGTGTAATAAAATCAGAAAATGTTTTGTTTTCCCTTTAATATATTTCTAAAAGGAAGAAAAACCAATGTTTTTTGTTTTTTTTAAATACCACTGGTATGGGGGTGCTATCCCCTACACACTGTTGTTTTTTTTGTTTTTTTTTAATAGCTGTTTATTTATATATTTTCAAAGAGCCTAATACACATACAGCTAAGTACACAGCTGTGCAGGTAGTGTTTTTAAAATAACCCCATTATCTCCCCTTTTCTCTAAAAGCTCCAACATACCAAATTTGAGCTCAAAATTAAGTCTGTTGTACTATTATGTTTGTATTACTACATGATGAAAATGATTAAAACCCCAGCTACATTTTCCATTGAAATGGATGACTGATGGCCTTGAAAGGAATGGACTTGGTATTTTTTCTTCATTTTTAATCAGTGCTTCTCTGAAGAAAAACTCATGGATTTGATTTTTTTTAATAGTGTCTGAGCTTGACTGTAAAATGTATTTCTTTTTTTTTTGGTCATATCTAAAAACTCATCACTGTTTTCTACTATTTCTCTAAGCATGTCTTTTAAAATCACCAAATTAGTTGAAGCTGATGTCCTATTGAGTGATGAAATTGTATTTCAGAGATCAGGCAGCTGGGGTGGCTGAGCTCCTCTGTGCCTACCAGTGATAACAACTTTAATGAATGTGAGATTAGTGTGACTTAATAACTCACGGCTGTTAGTTGAACATGTAATCACAGGCTGTGTGAAATCTGGATTTTTCAGTCAGTGTCAAGTCATCAATTCTACTTTTTGTTTGTTTGTTGTTGTTGAAGAAATGAACTTGGCGTGTTTGTCTGCAGTTGAAACAAAAAACTGTCAGTAAGATATTTAACTATTTACAGTTTAATAGCACAATAAAATGTACTTAAATATTCAATAAACAGTTTATCTGCCCTTTTTAAAGTTGTATAGATTTTATTATCATTCCCTCTAAACTCTCCAGATCCATGTCCTGTTATGATAGTGCTTTAACTGTGGATTTATCCTCGGATCTTTGATTGTGCTTATCACCGGGAAGAGTTTAGCAGTCCAGTGATTTATCAAAACAACGACTCCTGCTGCTCGATGGTGTCGGTGTTGGTGAAGGACTCATTGGAAAAAACAAACAAGAACAAATGCTTAACATACTCAGACACTTAAAGCTGTTGTGTTTATGTGTGCAAGACTGAAAATACTTTAGGCAAGGCCATCTCAGCCTGTCAGCTCACCACAGAATCACTATCTCACATGAATGAAAGGAGTTTAGAGGTGCTTCAGCCAGTTGATTGTTTCACGTTTTTAATCAGGGTTATCTAACACCACTGCACAGATGAAGAGCAGATATTGTTCCAGAATAACAATAATTTTATATCCTAAAGCAGTTTTCATTGCCGGGAGAGCCTGAAGCGCACACATTTAGTTTCTGCATCAAAGACTGTGAACTTTGGGCTTTTTAGATGTGGAAAAAATGATTTCAGTGTCCAATTATAACTATTAACTTAAACTGGTTCATATTTAAAGTCTGTATCAACAGAAAAGTAAATGAGCTGTGGAGCTGTGGAAATATAAGTGCCAATCCAAAAGTTATTTTTCTCTGAAGGTAAAAGCAGAAAAGGAAAGAATTTATTTAAATATACGTCATTGTGTTTAATCTTGAAACCCCCGTAAGTGTTTCAAGAATGCATACAGGAGAATTAATGAATGCATGTTAGAGAATATCAGCTCGGTAGATTATGTTAGTGACGGTGTGCTGCAAGCGCTTTTTGATGCTTTGAATTTTCACTTTTCTCCTGTTGTTGTGTTTTGTTTTATTTTTTTGTTTTTTTTAATACAGAGGGGGGGAAAGAGAATCTATTTTAATTGTGTTAACTTGTAGAAATTTGTGGCATCAGAATTAGAATTGTATGGCACATTTTGTGTGTGTGTGTGTTTGGCCACGTACTACTCGGTCTTACTGCCCTGGCTTTTGTTAATACTGCCTTATTAGCATTAGAGTATCCCCCCTCCTTGCTCTCTTGCACACATGCGCACATAAACACACCATCCCCATTCCTGGGTCAGAGATCAGTATTCTCAGATTTGTGAGTGTGTGTGCGTTCACATGCCTTTGTTATGTGGTTTGGAGGCTCAGATGTATACCCACCTCATGCTAGACCCTGCAGTCAGCCAAGATCCCCCACGCTGGCCGCATAGAAAAGGCCCGCAGGAAACACACACATCCATACACACACAATGGCTGGTCAGAAATCCTGCAGGAAACTGCACAGGGGAATTCCTGCTAGGCCAGGCCGGATTATTTTCCCCTGTACTTCCTGTTCCTCTCTTTCTGCCCGTCTTCTCTCGCCTCTCCTCACCCCCTGCTCCCTCCCCGTTTGCCCCCAACCCCCCCCAAGACGATGTCCTCCTGAGGCTGTTGTGCTGAATTGTGAAGCCATAAAATATGAAACTACATCAAATTATTAACAGACAATAGTTTCTCTTCCCATAATTGGTACCGGCATTTTCTATATTAAATAAAACGATAACATGTTACATTTTAAATAATTAATTAATGCATTAATACTTGTTATGCTCGTTACAGCAACGAAAAGTGCCAAAATGTGTGCGCCTCATAGAGCTGTTTGTTTTAACGTAGCTGTACTGAAACAAATTGGTAGTGAGCTTTAAAACTGGAGTGTAGATAATCAAATTTAACATGATTAAATGTTGAATAATTACAGACTGTTGATTGGAAAACAGAAGTAATTTGAAGAAATGAAAAATGTATGTGAAATGAAGTCAGATGAATTGATACATATTAATAATATTCTGAATTTCAATACACATAGATGTAGCGAACAAGGGAATGGAGGTTTCTGTGCTTGTATTCTGCAAACTGTGAAGAGACAGAAGGAAAAGTGTCTTTAAAAGTGAATCTCTCTCTTCGGGGGCACGTGATCAGCATTCGACAAAGACGGAGAGGATTTCTGCCCACTGCTGAATTGTTCATTGTTCAGGGGTTTGTTGATAAATAGATGCACTCATCATTACCCGCCACCACTCATATTTACCCCACACAGTCTCAAAGCCCTCTCGGACATGTCAAATGATCAGGCTGCCAGCGGTCAGCGTTAGAGAAAGAGGGGACAGAACATGCTGAAAGGCTTTGTCTCTGCCTGTATAATCAATTGACCTGATTGATAAGAGTGTGTCAGGGTAACATTGTGCATTTGTTGTGTTTCCCACGCCCAGTGCTGTGTGTGTGTGTGTGTGTGTGTGTGTGAGAGAGAGTGTGTTATCCGACCCTCTCGACTCAGGCTCTGTCCATCAACACCTACCTCTGGAATGTTAATGAAAAACAAAAAGGGAATCCCAAAGAATTGACCTCTTTCTCTCCGTCACTCTCCCTCTTGCCATAATCGTAACATCTTTGTGTTGCGGCAGAAGCAGCGTGGATCATTTGTTGTCTGTTTTAAATCGCTACCTCTACCCTGTATTTCTGTTTGTTTTCGCACTCTTTATAGCCAGTGTGAGAGCTAAAGCACATTTCTTCAGGGTAGTTGCAAACAGCTGGTTGATAACTGGAAAAATGGCCAATGAACCAGCATCAGTTGTGATAAAATATAGCTGACTTATTGATTAATAAATGGTGGTTGATTTGTTTCCTGTAAATATAAGCCCAAATGAGGGGCCATTATGGAAATGAGACTGGAATTATTAATTATTATTATTAAATATTACTAAACCCCATAAACAGTGTTTGGCCAAAAGAGCAGTTTTTAAAAAACTGTGTTTCTCAAAAGAGCATTTCAAGTTACAAAAGTCAAATGAAAAATTCAGAGGTGATCTTATGTCTGAAGATATAAAGCCTTGGTAAAAAGCTGTGACATGTGATCCTGAAAATGTAGTTGAATCTGTTTTTAACTACTCCAACTAATAGAAGTTAGGGAGTTAATGAAAATAGTCAGGACTGGAACCTGTTTTAAGCTTCAACACATCCTCTGAAATACAGAAACCAGCAGAAGTCCTAACCTCATTAACGGTTAGCATTAACGGAAGCTGGCGTGCGGAGATGTCGCACTGGAGCTGCAATCTACTGATTCGGCTGGTTATGTCTGTTAACTGCCACTCGCAGAGGAAGTCTGGCTAAACTGTCACAATCCGTCTCGCAATCAGTCCTCAGCGAAACCCCGGGTGGGGAAGAGAAGGGGGAGGGGCCGATTATGGTGTTTCGGTGTTGTTGTGACATCGAACATCCCGAGCATGTCGAGTCCCACGTTGTCTCTCAGGATCGCTGCGTATTTTCACCATATACTTCCAAGAGTGTGTGTGTGCGTGTGCGCGAGTGCACGCACGTGAGGCTACGTCTGCTAGTACGCACGTACAGCAAAGTGTCAGGGTGCGGGGCGTGCATGTGAGGTGTAAATGCACTGGCACCCAGCCACCACCTCAAGGGTGCGAGAGAGGGGTGGCGGTGTGTGCGCAGGTTTGTGAGGGTGTAAATTGAGCTGTGATGGCCCAAGAAAAAGGATATGATTGGGTGAAGCGACAAGACCTTGCACGCATCAGCACGAGCGCAATGCTCAGCTCTTTACCGCAGCATGCTAAATTGTTGTTGCCTCCTGGTCCCCTTTTATCTCTCTTCCATCACTCTCTTTGTTTTTTGTGGATCGCCAGGCTTTCATCTCAGATTGAGTCTTTGAAATGCACTGCGGCTTCTTTCTCTGCCTCTCTTCACTGAACACACATGCACGCCGACTCGGTCTCCTCCACTTAGGTGCTTACATCCCATCTCATACATTAGCTTTTCCGCCAAGCACTTTTAAACAATGGTCTAAAATGTCCCCATAATCTTTTTTTTCTTTCTTCTTGCCATTTTTAGTCTTTTCCTAGTGTTTCAAATATCCAAAGAACTAAGGTTCTTTTTTCTGGCTTTGTCCTTATTTCTTTCCTCCATTCACTCACGTGCTGAAAACCTTCACTCATCTGTTTTCTCTTCCCTCCCCTCCAATTTCAATCAGAAACATAAGGAGCGAGACCGGCACAAACCGAAACACAAGAAAACCTCCATGGACATGTCCCCCTCCCTCATCCTTCCGAACATCATGGTCCCAGAGAAGGTGAGAGCACCCCTCCTTTGTTTTGGTGATTAGTAACATGTGATTAAATATTAGAGTCAGAGTGGCTTACCTTGATTTATCTTTGTTAAACTCTTATATCCCTAAAACATCCTGTGGCCTTGATGTATTTTTCACTCATCTTTTTCATTTGGCTGTGTTTTTGATAATTTCCCTTCCTGTTCCGCTGTTTTGATTTTCTTGTCCTCCCTTTTTCTCCCAATATCCTTTTTTTTTTTTCTCCCATCATTCTCTCTCCCTCCCTCCCTATTCATTTATTTATTTTTTTAACCTTCTTACAGACCTATAACAGTGGCAATTCAGGGGGAGGTGTCTCCTCTCTGCAAGCGTCTTCGCAGAAGCGATTAGATGACAGCGCAGCACGTTTTACCAACGCCAACTTTCAGGAAGTGTCGTCTGCTCACTCTGGCAGCAGTTCCAAGGACGCCTTGGCTGCAGACAGCGTCAAGGCTGCGACTGAGGTGAAGAACAAGAAGAACAGCGGTGGAGGTCACACGGTGGGACCGAGGGGTGGCCGCAAGTCTCTCACCTCCTCAGGGAAACCCCTCCCCTCTGCTGTGGTCACCATGGCAACTTCCTCTACATCTGCCTCAGCTTCAACTGGGCCTTTCCATCAAGGTGAATTGATGGTTGCAAATGGATCTCAATATTTCTCTCCCCCCACACACACATGGCAGTTAGGTATTTTTACCCTGCACACCCACAAGAAAAACTGCAAATGCAAAATTGCAAAGCGTTATTTAAAACCTGAATGAACTTTTGATTCTCTGGTTTTATGGGTCCGTGTGTGCTGTGTCATTGACTGGATATCAGTCGGGCACCAGACTTTTGTCTCTCGCCGTGATAAGACTGTTTTGTCTCGGCTCTGTAATCTGGGGCCCCGTCTGAGAACAGCCCCGCGCACACAAACACAGGCCGACGGAACATGTGGGGAGGTCATGATGTGAAAGGAGTCACTGTTCACTCCTGTGTGCTCCTGTGTTTTGCGCTGTTACAGCCTTGAAGCCCTTGTCAGTTGTGTGTTTTTGTCTAGCAGAGAAATTGTGCATTGTGTGCGCTTTCAAGAAACTGATGCAAGGGAGGGCTGCTTGACGAGGAAGGGCTGACTGTAGAGCAGATAGAGAGCATTTGAACTGATAAAATGTCTATTTTTGTTATCTTGTTTCTGTCGCTCTCAAGATGATCGAAAGGAGTGTGTTCTGGAAACTTGTACAGCTCTGATGTGTCATGCCTCTCCTCTCTTTGTTCATTCCTGTCCCACCCGTCTTTCATCCACCCAGGCCTCCTGTTGACCAGTGCCAGCAAGACCCCCTCTGCCGCTTCCTCCTCAGACTTCCTAAGTTTCACAGATTCATCGTTGCGTCCCGGTGGTGGAAGTACCTTCTCCTCCCCACCGTCTTTCAGCAGCTGCCTTGTGAAGCCAGGCTCAGAGGGTGGAGCTTCAGAGGGAACTACAACTCTCTTTGGTTCTCTTATGTCTGCAACCACAGCTTCAGCAGGTGCCACACTTCTTTTTCTTTAAAAAAAAACACAACAATATAATTTTTGTTTAACTATTAAAAATATGTAACAATCTCATTAACCAATGGGAAACACTGTTCTTTCTCATCATTGCAGTGGGTGGAAAGCTGTATGAGAATTCCCACAGTCACACAGTGAGTGAGACAACAAGCCTCGTTGGGTCCACTGGCTACAAACGGCCTCAGCCCTCGAGCTCAGGACTGGGGATCAGCGGAGCAGCCGCAGGAGGAGGGGAAGATGGGGTAAAGAAGAAAAAGAAGGGCAACTGGCGAAACAGATTTGGACCTTGCTTTACCACAGATGTGAAGCCTTCTGAGCCCGCACCCTCCCTAACTCTCCCCACCACCTCCACCGCCAACACCACCTCCTCCACCGCCTCGCCTTCCTCCTCTTCGTCCTCAATGCTCTCAGGTCGCCCATGCTTAGTTTCCAGCAGTGGATTAGGGGTTGGGGTAGGAGGAGGATCAGGAGGCGGAGAGAGGGGGCTGGGGGTCATGGGCGTGAGCGGTGGGATTCAAAAGTCGCCGTCACTCCTCAGGAATGGGAGTCTGCAAAGCAACAGCAGCTCTACAACCACTGGGTCAGGTAAGGACGACTGAGAAATGTGACGCACAGCAACGTTTCACAACCCCTTTTAGAGTTTCGGAGACTTGAAGCCCGTCTGTCAGTTCTCATGACAGAATTAGCTTTATAGTTTCACTGTAGCTGAGCGAATAATGAAATCGATTTTGGCAACTGAAATGAGGAACCGTGCTGGTTTCATTCAAGATCTATGGGGTAGTTGTGACTTGTAAGACCCCATTGTGCTCTCCAGTTTCATTACAATGATCAAAAGGAAAGTAGTTTGTGTGAGGCATTGTTGCAGCAGGTTTTCCAGCTGCTGAATGTAACACACCTGGGCAGCATATTTTAAATATTGACAATCAGAAATGGCCAGAGCCGGTGACACCTCCATGTTTGTGTGTAAGAGTGTGGGTCTGTGTGTTCCTGCACACACGTGGAAGTGGTCTGTATGCTTTCTTTTTTTGTTGTTGTTGTTGTTGTTGTTGTTTTTTTACTTTCTCATCGTGTGTTTTCAGTTGCTTGGCAACTGTCTTTATGCTTTGGAGTTTCCCTGATGGAAATGGCTCAGCACAGCCCGCACATCCCACATCTCCCTTTTCTTCCAGAATCATCACCCTTTTGTTTCTCCCTCCTGCTCTCAGCTGCTCGCACCTACCTGCCTTCTGCATACAGAACCAACACTCACCTGTTGATGCTGTGTGCAGCTGGAGCTCTTAGTGTTGACACCCATACACGTGCACGCAAAGAAAGTGGACATGGTTATTTAAATTCATGCTACGGGTGAATCCACTGATTAAGCTCAAATCCGTTGCTGATCACTAGGCTGACTTCTGTGTGTCTTTATCTCATACTTAGGATATTTTTGATTTAAGCTTTTCTAAATTGTCCTTTTCCCCCCGCTAGAAGTGATCGTTTCGAGTGATTGATTAGCCCTACATCTGTTCTTGACCTGTAGCTTTAAAACTTGTAGCTGTGATGAGTATTGGACATTGCAGCTCAGCACCAGATGGATTGGACTACAGCGTTCACAGAAAGCGAAGATTCAGGAGTAATTATGTTGTTTGCAACAGAGCAATTTGTAAAATGTGAAAAATGATGAGATTCTGATCAGAAATGTGTTGCTAGGCATTGGATGGTTGGCGGTCTTGATTTGCATTGTGTGTGTAGGAGTCGTACTTTTAATGGGAATGTTGTATTCTTGCAGCTCTCTGCCTGAATCAAACCAAAATCGTAACCATTCAAAGCTTAAGTGTGTTAAAACTACAGTCTTCACAAATACTCATCTTCTGTTCTGCATTCAAAGGTGGGTTTACTTTATATTTGAGTTGTTTTGGTCATGAGCGGGTGAGTCAGAGGACTGGTTCTGTTTGCTTTCTGAATTTAATTTTTTGCAGCAGGGGTGGTTGAGCTTGTTTGTGATTCCACATCCATTTTACTTTCTGGTTCTTTTTCCTTGAGCAGTTGGGGGCATTTCGGGCTTCAGCTGGCGAGAGAAGATAGGGCAAAGAGTGGTGGTTATGTATGACTGTGCATCATACGTATGCGACTGTGAGAAATTAAATCATGTGTTCTTCTTCCTACTGTAAATATTTAGCCAGGGGTTAATGCAGGGCAGTAATGGGGAGGATCTTGGTGTTTATCTCCCCCTCCTCTGTCCTGTCTGCTGACTCCACCGTGCTGATGGATAGATAGTTAGCCTGATAAATATGTGGTGTTGGGTGGGGAGAAGCAGGGGGTGAGATTTTGGCTGGGTTAATGTTTGATGGCAGCGGGGTCACCGATGGGACGGACAAGCTCGCAGTAGTTTTGGTGTGTGGGGGAGGAGAGACGCTGGGTGAAGCAAAATTTATTCACACTGGTGACTATGTATGTGTTTAAAGAGAAGAAAAGCAGACAAGAAAACAAAAGATATCATTTATTCTTATATTTATTAGCTAATTTATGAGATTATTTTTACCCCTAACACTTTTTTTTTTAATAATGAATTTCCTCAATTATCAGCAGCTTGGTGTCACCTCTGCAGAGCACATGTGAGAGGTTGTGAAAGCAAGGAAATACTCTGTGAGCAGGATTTAATTTAAATAACAAATTAAGCTTAATGTTAAAATATGAGCATGTCTATTATTAAAGTTTGCAGGTGTGTAATAAATAAAGTAACATCAGAAGAAATTATTTAAAGATTCACAAATGTCAGTATTTTAAGGCAATACTGGAAAAATAGATAAATAAATGTAAAAAATCAGTAAATGGAGTAAATGGAGATTGGTTTGTAATTAGTACTTTTTTTGGGGGGATATTGTGTGATATTGTGCCACATCACAGAGAATTTATTATAAAAAGGGACTGCTAAATGGCTCACATTAAAGAAAAAATACAATACACACACACTCTCAAATTATATTCGATTATGTTGGGCAGCATAGAGAAAGTACAGTTGATATGAAGGCAACGTCTACCAAACAACACATTAAAAAAATAATATATATTTTTAATGTAAATCAGAATATTTCCAGGTTTTTCACTAAACTGTAAACACATTTTCACTAAAATGTAAACAAACTGTAGCAAATGAGTTTCTAGTGTTTAAAAAAAAAAAAAAGTAGTTTAGAGACCTGAATATGCCTCTTCTTATACTTATTGTGGAAACTGTTAAATTTAGTTTGCCGTTGTTGACTCTGAAACCGACACGCCTTTATCAGTCTACCACAAACCCACGTACATTTTCTGATGCACACACTCGTTGTGCGTGTTACAGTTGCTGTCCTCGATTTGGCTCTAAATGCACGTCTGTTTATCTTTGGTGGTAGAAAATTGTCAGAAAAACAAAAGGCTTTCTGTTGCCGAGACGTTTGTCTTTACATAAACATCTCCACGTTTAAACTCTGATGAAGTAACTGTCTGCAGTCTTTGGGAAAACAAGCTGCAAGGCTCCAGGAGAAAAGACACTGAATCAGACGTTAAATAACAGAATGTGATGGCATGCACTTTGTTTAATTTAATGTCATCTTTTTTTATATTCTGCATATAGACGACACAGATT